GGAAAGAAAGAGCTCATGCGTTTTAATAGCTAGAGTGGTTCTTTCTCCCTAAATGAGACAGGCTGTCTTCAGTTGATCCTCAAGTGTCTTCTATGGCGGAAAGCCCTGCTTCCTGTCAGTTGAGTAGGATGTAAGTAGCCCTGGTTCTCAGCCAGGCTTCCCACACGAGAGAGTGTGTGCCAGCCCCTTTGAAGTCTGGGCTCTCCTCTTTCCCTTCAGACCCCTAAGCACTTGTTTTAATAAAAGCTGCACATCACACAGTTTAAAGATTCAAATAGTTCTGTCAGAGAGTTGAAGAATAGCAGTTCTGCCTCCTCTGCCCCCTGTATTGCTTCTTCAAAAGCAACCATGTCCCTTCATTTATGGCAGATTATCTTGCCATTTAACTCTGTCTCTAAATAATCTTTTTTAAAAAATGTATATTTTTATTGATTTCAGAGAGGAAGGGAGAGGGAGAGAGAGATAGAAACATCAATAATTAGAATCATTGGTCGGCTGCCTTCTGCACATCCCCCACTGGAGATCGAGCCCCCAACCTGGGCATATGCCTCACTGGGAATCGAACCATTACTTTCTGGTTCATGGGTCGATGCTCAACCACTGAGTTACACTAGCCAGGCTAAATAATACTCTTGTTTAGCCCCCTTTTAACTTTTCTATTTTTCACATTAGCTCTTGAGTCACAGTGGAAGATAAGGATCTGGCTCCCTTTCCTCCCTTGTCCCCCACACATGCAGCCTCTCTTGTCCCCATCTTCCTCAGGCATCTGTATCATAATTTTGGGTAGGTAAACATTCACCCTCACTTTATTATGATTTTGTAAATACTATTTAGGGCCATCTAGAGTATAGAAGGATTTAAAAATAAATGTAAAATTCCCTTTTTCCCCTGATTATGAAAAGAGCATATGTTCATTTCTTTATTCAGCAGGTACTTATTTAGAACCTCTGTGTGCCAGAATCTGTTCTAGGTTTGGGGGAAACTTTGGTGAATAAAACAAAAGTATCTGCCGTCACACTGCTTACAGTCGTATGTGTGTGTAGAGGGAGCATGTTTTAGATGAGGCACAAAAAAGCATTTGAAACCCTACCACTGTTAACATCTTAGAGTAGTCTTCCTATTTATTTTAATGTGCAAATATATTGGTCTATGACATAAATACACACAGAACTGTGCATATTATTGTCGTAACCATATATGTATTGCTGAGGCATATATGATATACAGTTCTATATCTCACTTTTTTCAGTTAATACAATACTCTGAGTATTTTCTCATGTTATTCAATATTCTTTGTCATAGCTGACTATCCATTATAGACAATAATTTACCCGATCCCCAATGGAAAGACAATTAGATTTGCTTTGCCATTATAACTAATGCTGCAATGAATGTCTGCACCTCATCTTTACTGTCATTAAAATCATTTTCCAGATTAATTTTTAAAACAAGGTTGAATAAACTGTCAAGTTTAAGTCTGATCCAGACTGTCACCTGAACTGTTTCACCCATTGACAAAGAGCATGTTTGTCTTGTCAACTTTGTAGGAGGCAAAAAAGATGGAGAAATCTTCCCCTCCGCATGTTCTCTTTGAGCTTTTGTTTGTGCACTCTGAGCAGTCCGTTATAACCCAGCGCATCACTATTCCTGTGGCCCACCTTGCAAAGGCTTCCTGAGATGTAGATAACTGATGAAGTGATTGCAGTATATCAGGAGGCCAGTGTTGAAATATGTGTTTTTCTGACAGTAGCTCTCAGTTTTGACCAGGCTAGTCCCAAACTGTGCATATTAAGCATATCCCTACCTTGGAATTAAAACTCTTCTAGGGAAAAATTGGATGGTGACATTAGAATCACAGACAGAATGATCTGCCCTATTGTAATTTGTAATGAAGGGATTCTGTGTGTCGGTGCTAATAGTGCCAAGAGTCCTGTTAAGAAAGCACGGACTCTGAACCACAGGTAAGAGTAGGCTGGTGTTTGCACTTGGGAGTGTCAGGAGCCTGCACTCAGGACAGCTTGACTAAAAGGATGGCCAGGCCGTGTAGCTCAGGATATCCTGGGCTGTGGCATAGTTACACAGATTAAGAGAAGGGAGTTATAAAAGCTGGTGGCTGAATATCACCTTGAGAATTGAACAGTAATTAACTTTATTTTTAATACAAGGAAGTTATTTTACTTGAGAGCTGGAAAATGCTAAGGATGTAGGTAGAGAGTAGTAATTATTTTTCTGTCTCAAGAGCGTGCCGAAAAGAACTAAATTAACAGTCCGGAGTATAGCCCATAAAGTAATCACGTTGGAGAGGTGCAGACATATAGACACTTGGCTCCGGCCCTGTCTGGTAGTCTGGCCTTAATTCATCCAGAAAAGGGATGAAGCAGCTTTTCTGGACTGCTGAAGGGTTGATATCTACATAGGTAAATAATATTTCAGAGATTTTCAACAACAGTATGAACTATAGGACTTGGTGATGCTACTACTATCCTATATACTTTCCTCAAGTACATTAATTTGGACTTTCCTAAAATCCTGCAGAGAAAATTAACTCAGAGAGGTTGATTTTCCTAAAGTCATAAAGTAGATATCAACTCTCCTGCTTCTTAATCCAGTGAGGTATTTCCACTTCACATTGATCCCCAGGGTTATAATATGGGCACCGTATCTACATCAGTAACCCATTCCTGAAAATCAGATAGTCTATGTAGGAAGACCAGCCAGGAGACCATTTCTTACAATTTTAAATGGTAAGAATTAAAATTTATTAATGTCAATGTAAACTCCATACCAATTTTCTAAATATTAACAAAACACAGCAAAGCACCCCTATACAAGTAACAAATATCATACTAGGATGTTAGATGCTAAAAACAACACTCTCCAAATACAGATGCTCCTCTACTTTTGATGGGGTCACGTCCCGATAAACCCATTTCAAGTGGGAAATACTGTAAGTTGAAATGCATTTAATACACCTAACCTACTGAACATCATAGCTGAGCCTATGTTCTACTGAATGAGTGTTGTGTTCTTGCACCATCATAAAGTAGAAAAACCATTAAGTCAAATCAGTAAATCAGGGACAGACCATCTGTAGTTAATCTAATTGGTAAGAAACTATTCCTTTTTGTGCAGTAGTACATGGTACATCCCATTGGATATCTGCATACTCTTCAAAATGCCTACATGGAATTCTGATGTTCTGTTGAGAATATAACTTTTCCTCCACCCTCCACTTCATTTTGTTTAAATTGTTGCATTGTGTCTTGGATATGTATGCATTACCTATATAAGCAACCAATGGACAACACTGTACGAATGGATATTAAAAACAAAGGGTCTTCCACCGAGAAATGTTAGAGAGTTGGTCCAGCCTGATCTCCCCTAACCACCTCTGCCTGCCGACCTGATCTCCCCTAACCACCTTCTGCCTGCTGACCTGATC